TTCATGGAGCAAGAAGACGAATATTATGAAAATGGAGATGAGAATGAATGGTATACTGCTGCTCCCAGTGATGAACATGAACTGAACGAAATTAGAGCAGTAAATACTCAGCATTATTATTATTTTTTTTTTTTTTAAAAAAAAAAATGTTTGTGACAAAGTTCGATGACCATTTATTCATCATTTTCCTATCTACAAATAAAATTCTAGGCTTCTCTAGCTTACTTGGATTCAATCATCGATCGACCGGTGTCGACCGAGCAACAAGAATTATCCTCAAATCAAAATGAATTTGATCAAGAAATGTTTGAGGATGCCGTCGAAGAAGAATAAGTTTCTTGGTTAAAAGTCACAGGTTTGTGAAATTCCTTTTTTATGTAGCACCATTACATCTTTCATTACTCAAAATTAATTCTATATTATGACACAATATCGTATTTGCATTTTAGAATATTAAAAATAAAGTCTGTCATTTAAAATCGAAAAACAAAAGGGAAAAAAAAAAGAAGAGTTTTTTGAAGCACATGATCCATCTTATCCGGGGCCAACCTATAAAAAATCACAGAAATGAATGAGTTAACATAATAGAATGCGTTTTCACAATTGAACATTTATATAAAAAGAATAACCTTCGGGATATCGTAATGTTCGGTCATTTCTTCCAATTTTCTATTCAACTCCTATAAATTGAAAAATGAATGATTTGATAACAAAGCTTTAAAAAAAAACAAAAATCAGATTAAAATAAGAGTACTACATACTGCTACGCGTTCCTTGTGCGATTTACGGGCTGCTTTTTGCACTTTCTCCTCCAACTATTTTAAAACATTATTAAGATTAGTCGGTTTTTTTTTACAAGCACACTTATTCAGTGAGAGTTACCCTCTTTGCCTGAATCTCCTCAAATTTCTTTTCTGCTTCGGTTTTGGTGACGACTCTAATTGGTTTGATTTCTTTATCGTCAACTAATTCTTTAGCATAAGTTCTCAACTTTTCCTCGTCCTTGTGACTTTTCTTCTTTTTCCTATTATACAAATTGTTTTTAGTATGTGACGATGGAAATTCATAAATCAATGTATGAGTTCGCAAGTATGAGAGTTTGGATTACTTTTTTATCTTGTTAGAATTACCGGTGCCTCCCTTGAGCCTTAAGGAACCGCCTGGAACGTTGTCGTACTCAGACATTATTGATTTAGAGTTTTGTGACGTACCATGGAAAAACCAAAGAATTTATATACTAAAAATAGGTAATTTTTTATTGGTTGCCGCGTAAAAATGTTCAAATTCGTCGTCGAGCATGAACTCGAAAAACCCCCCACCTGAAAAAAGGTAATGCACACCGATAATCTTATTTTCTGGAAAGATCAAGAAACACTTATTTAGCGTTTCGGGTTTAACCTCCAGAAGAGTCCGGTCAACTAATGCGTCTGTTCTATCGAGTAAACCCACTGTAATCTCTATACCTACCTCCGAAGAAGTCCGGGCAAGGTTGCCTAAACATCCCGTACTTGAGCATGCCTCACAACCCACGAAACAAATTTTGCCACCGGCTCCGATCCCGGGTGCAATGGTCTTTTCTTATGCAACGCTTGGGTTAGAGCAGTATGGTCAGACTTCACTTGACTCGGCTCCTGAGAAACTTGCACCTGACCTACAGGCTTACCGGAAACTTGTTAAAATTTGTAAACGACCCAGAATCGAGTCAAAAGAATGCAATAATGTAACTCGTGGATGTCCATCGATATCGGCATGTTCATTTCCGAATTTCAAGGCAGCCTTCGTTAAAAAATGGGGCCTTGAAAACGGAGAAAATGACGATGACTCGAGTTCTCATGAGAGAATGCCTGGTGATTCTCCGCCAGAGTGTCAGCTAAACACTTTGATGTGTGAAGAGTGGTGGATAAAGCGAGGACACACAGAAAGCTTCATGGATGATGAACATTCACACATGGATGCGCGTGAGATGAGGAAACCTCCAAAGAAACTTAAAAATTTGCTTCACGAAACTCAAAATGATTCTACAATTCAAACACCTAAATCATCAACACTTAATAATGACCAAGAAACCGAAAATATCATACACCCAAGCGAAGGAAGGCAATCGCATCAGGCATCATCGTCAGATGATCTATGTGCAAATGACAAGGAAGGAGTTGTTACTACTGATCCGAAGTTTACTCTCAGGAGGCGAGACCTGTACGGATGATGTTATCATCATCATTTTTCATCGTTTTCGTTTTACTTCTAGAACTTATAAGAACTGAAGACATGTTTTTTTTTTTTTAATCTGTTAAAAACTTAGTAATTATTCCCATAAAGAAGCTCGGTCACGAATAACTCCTAACATGGATTTCATAGAACGTCTGAAAATATTGGCACCCCAAGCGGCAGCAATTTACAATGATTTGGAAATTGTTGAAGAGTCAAGAGACACTGATCAAGTTAACACGGGACGCATGAAGACGCATAATAATCAAAAGTGGCAAACAGAAGAAACAGAGGAATTCTATAAGGTGACATTCAGTTGATTTTTTCCGCAAATCTTGGGCGACTTTTCTAATTTGAAATTTTCTTCTAAATAGCTGGTTGCATTGTTGGGATCCGATTATAACAAAATTGCTGACCTCACGGGAAGGTCGGTTCTCCAGATAAGAAAGAAATTTAAAAAAGAGCAAAAGATTTCACCCGAACGGCTTCATGACGCCATCACAAAAAAGAAGGAATTTTTAATTTATAAAGACTTGTCTAAATCATTTGCAACCCGTCGTGAATAAATAATATACTGTAGCTTGCCATATATAATAATCTTTAATAATTAATTAGATGTCAATAAAATAAACTCGAGAGAAAAGGGTGGATTTCGATTAATACATTTTTAATCCTTTTTTATTAATTAAATTTTACGAAATTATTTACAATTTTGTTCATCACAAATTATATTATTTTCTTTTTTGCTCATTTTTTCTCATTCTTTTGACAGAGAATAAACATCTTAACCCTACACGGTTTTTTTTTTTTCAATATTCACAAAAAAAAAATGAAAAATAAAGTAAAAATGAAATGAAATGAAA